GTAAGATCCCAGTAGGGGGATCAAGCCCACAACCTTGGCATATCCCTGACTGGAATCAAACCTGGGACCTTTCCGTTTGCAGGCCGACGCTCTATCCACTGAGCCAAACTGGCCAGGGCTGCTAAATTTCTCTTACATGGAATGTTCATTCCTTTGAAAATATGCCTAAACCTAAAACAAAGTGATTCTAAATGAACTGGTAGAGATAGACTGCTAGTAGCAGTACTTTTAATTGGATTTAATTTCAATTCTGTGTTTTACCTAAAGATATAAATCAACACTTCAATATTTGTATTTACTAAAAAGAAACAGTCCATTCGGATGGATTCAAAGAACAGTGGCAAACTAAGGTTTAGAGTTCACATTTAAGGGCACAGGAGACCTTTCTGCATTTGTTGAATTCATAATCCCTATGATACCAGGATTCAAAAATACAGTCTTACACATATGGAAACGTATTCCATCCTTTTGTCCTAAATTTTCATTCTGTAGGCCAAAAACCGAGAAACCTGGGTTTAGACCTTGGACCTGCCATTTCCTACCATGTGACTATAGGAATATTTTCTACCTTTCTGGGCCCATGGTCTCATCTGTTAACTGGGCTTATCATCATCTCCCCTGAGAAAGTTAGCATATATAAAGCACCTAATGAGCCAGGCAACTGGTATTCATGTTAACAAGTATTACTTTGCTGCCTCTTATCCTATAGTTGTTCACTGTAACTGTCCTTTATTTCTACTGGATTACATCATCCTTTAGAAAAGTTGTTGTATATATTCACAATAGAATACTAGATGGCTGTTAAAAAAAAAAAAAAATCCTTTCAACGGCATGGACAGACCTGGAGCTTATTTTGCCAAGTGAAATGAGCCAGTCAGAGAAAGACAAATACTCTATGATCTCCCTTACATGTGGCATCTAAGAAACAAAATAAACTGGCAAACAAAATAGATCCAGAGGTATGGATACACAGAACAGACTGACAGATCTCTGAGGGGAGGGGGCTGTGGAATGGATAAAATAAAGTGAAGAGATTAGTTACAGAATGTATATGCAGAGCCCATGGACACGACAACAGTGTGATGAAGGCCAGGGGGTGGGGAGGGCTGGGTAGAGGTGGGCACAGCAGAGCAAGGAGGGGCAGAATGGAGGGCATCTATAACTGTGTTAATAAAAAAATATATTGTCTCTATTCCCTTCAAATCTTCCACAGTGCCAACTGCTATGCACACAACAGATGTTTTGAATTGAGACGCTCCTGAAATTCTGGCAATAGCTGTCTGGAAATATCAGCGTTCCAGCCCCTAAATTCTCTAGCTTTAAACACTTATCACATACATATTAACTGGCTATTTAATCTTTGTACCCCGTTCCCTTGGTTTGAAAAATAAAGACATTACTATTATTACACCCCCCCCACACACACACACACACATGAATACTTTCTCTATGAGGTCACTGTTTTACAGTGTTTTAAGATCAATTAAGATAAGAATGCTGCCAAAACTGGTTTGGCTCAGTGGATAGAGCATCAGCCTGCGGACTGAAAGGTCCCAGGTTCAATATTACAAATCGGTCAAGGGCATACTTGGCTGCAGGCACATCCCCGGTAGGGGGTGTACAAGAGGCAGCTGATCAATGATTCACTCTCATTGATGTTTCTAACTCTCTATCCCTCTCTCTTCCTCTCTGTAGAAAATCAATAAAATATATATATATTTTTTAAAAAGATAAGATTGCATAAGGAGAAATTGTGCAAACTGTAAGATATTCCACAAAATTAGTTTGTTCTAGTCTATTCTGATGTCACATAACCGCACATAACAGAGCTCTATGCAACAGACTTATTTTCTATTTGGTCATCTTCCATTTAGCTCCCTTCCTATGGCAAATATATATATATATATATATATATATATATATATATATATATATATATATATATATATATATATATATATAAAAGCATAGGCGGCCGACCTGACGCACAATGACAACCAGGGGGCAGATACTCAAAGCAGGAACAGAAATAGGCAGGGAAACATGGAACAGATGGATGAACCTCAGAGGGAAGGTGGGAGAGGGGATGGTGGGAAGAAATTAACCAAAGATATTATATGCATACTACAGGCCCAGGAGGGGGTTGTCCCTCAGCCCAGCCTGCACTCTCTCCAATCTGGGACCCTTCGAGCGATGTCCAACTGCCCATTTAGGCCTGATCCTACCTGGCAATTGGACATCCCTCTCACAATCCAGGACTGCTGGCTCCCAACTGCTTGCCTGCTTGCCTTCCTGATTGCCCCTAACCATTTCTGCCTATCAGCCTGATCACCCCCTAACCACTCCCCTGCCAGCCTGATTGCCCCTAACTGCCCTCTCCTGCAGGCCTGGTCACCCCTAATTGCCCTCTCCTGCAGGCTTGATTGCTCCCAACTGCCCTCCCTTGCAGGCCTGGTCCCTCTCAATTGCCTTCCCCTGCTGGCCTGATCGCCCACAACTGCCCTCCCTTGCAGACCTGGTCCCTCCCAACTGCCCTCCCCTGCTGGCCATCTTGTGTCCACAAGGGGGCAGCATCTTGTATGTTGGAGTGATGGTCAATTTGCTTATTACTCTTTTATTAGATAGGACTAGAGGCCTGGTGCACAAATTCAGGTCCCTCAGCCTGTCCTGCAGGGATTGGGCCGAAACTGGCTCTTCAACATCACCATTTGTGAATTACTATTACAAATCTCAGGACTTCATATACAAATGAACTTACTATTACAAAATAATGATAAGGTAATGCAGACATTTATTTTTCCATTTTCAGCTTAAATGATATTTTAAACACTGGAAGGCTGAACAAAGGGCAGTATATGAGAGACAGAAGATAATCTAAAAAACTGATTTTACACTTACTACACATATATTAACTGATGTTAACTTTCCAAAGGGAAACAATCTGGCTGAGAAAAAGAGAAAAAAAAAAAGAGAAAAAAAAGAAAAAAAAAAGAAAAAGGCACAGGATATTTTATTTAGGATATTTTCAAGTTAAAGTTAAGTCATAAATAATTGCCAAGTGTTATATATAAAAACATAAAATTATTAAGAAACTAAAAATAATTGCTTTTTACTCTTGACACAAATTAAACATTATTAAATACCTTTAGAACTTAGCAACCAAAAAGCTTGAAAACTTTATTTTGGTAAAAATCTTAAATTATATATTTTTCAAAACTCTCAAGAGGAAGCAAAAATATATCCTGCCATATTTTTATACAATTACCACTATTCTATTTAAGATGTCATTATTTTGTGTGAGATATAGATCAAACCACAAGTTTAAAGCTATAATAAAACTAAGTTTTTCCTGCTCTTTTATGAATGAATCCTATAAAATAATATTTACTGAAAAATCATAGTAGTATAAAATAAAGAGGCTATTGTAAAATCATGCTCAATACTTTGGTGTTGCTTTACTGACAAGGACAATGATGGCAACAACAAGTCCTTATTCTCCTCAAATAAATAAAACCATTTTCTATTCTGGATTTCTTCTAATAAAATTCATTAACATTTAACATATTTAACACCAATTAATTGTAGAGAAGTCCGTGCAAGTCTTCATAAATGAAGAATAAGAGTATATTTTTCCTCAAGACTAGACTAGACAACCTGACATTTATAGATGGTGATTCCAATATTTTTCTCTCAGCAATCCTTAAAACAGGAAGAAAATTAGTAAAGATATGAATCACCTGAAAAACATCATCACTCAATTTGACCTAAAACATTTACAGGACACTGATCCCAATAGAATATATTTTGTTTTCAAGTGTACATAGTCACCAAGATAACAAATAATAAAGTTAAAATAATAAAAACCATAAAGAGTATGCTCATGTATCATAAAGAAAACAGTAACAAAGATATACCTGAAAAAATGAACCAAAGATCTTGTATGCATATATGCATACATAACCCATGGAAGCAGACAGTGGAGTGTGCTGGAGGGGGTTGATGAGGGGGAAAAAGAGGATATATGTAATATTTTCAACAATAAAAGTTTAAAAAAAAAAGATATATTTGGAAAATCCCCTATTTGCTCAGAGATTAAATAATATAGTTCTAATTAAGCCATCAATTAAAGATAAAATTTCAGAGGAAATTAAAATCATTTTGAACTATAAAATGAAAATATATCAAATACATGAGATGTAGCTAAAGCGGTGCTTAGATGGAAACTTATAGCATTAAATACTTACATTAGAAAACAAGATATTAAATCAGTAATTTAAGCTTCCACATTCAGAAACTATATAGAAAAGAAGCAAAGTAAGTAACAAAAAAAGCAAGAAAAACCAAATAATACAGAGTAGAGCAAAAGTCAAGGAAAGCAAAAACAGAAAAACAATGTAGAAAATCAATCAACCCAAAATCTGTTCTCAGGTAGGAATTCTCTTAATTGTAGGCATTAGTAAAATGAGCAGAAATATAAAAAGGCAAACAGTAAAGAAGAAGCAGGAGTTGCAAATTCAAGAAGTGGAACAATTGGATAAATATCCTAACTATAAGTGGTATAATCTTACATCCTCTCAGTTCTCTCATTTGTAAAAGGGGATTTAAAAAAATCGCTCATAGGGTGAATGGCAGGGGTTAAGGGAAATATTCATGGAAATATTACTTGGAAAGAATAAAAATAACTATTATTGTTTGAATTAGTAAGATTGACAAACTGTTACCTAACACATAAATATCACATAAAGTTATGTCAACATTTAACATGTCTGACATCAATTAACTGTAAAGAAGTCAGGGCCTTAAAGGACCTTGAAGGTGATAACAGCAAAAATATTAATAAACTACAAAATATTTTTTGGTGGCAATACTGAAGATCAGGTGGGAAAAATTCATTACATACTAATAAAACCTGGCTTCTTCATAAGTTTTCTCATTAACGAAAAAAGTAAAAAATATAAATAAGGAACTTAAAAAAAAAATACAACCCACTGCAGATATACCTTTTTGCAGATTTTTTCAAAATTGATATCATCACCAAGAGCAGATTTAGTTACTATGTCAGGTTTCAATTCCTGTAAAAAAAATAAAACAAAATAATTTTAGTTATAACTCTAATTTTAAACTGTTATTATTATTATAAATTTCTCCCTGTTTTGCGCTTAAGAAATCTGATGTTAAGTAAATTTTCAACTTTTCAAAGATAATAACTTCTAGCACACAGTAATAAATGACCATGCTAAGAAAAAATGTCACAGCAAAATGAGTTTAAAAGCTAATCACTCCACAACAATTATATTCTATGAAAGCTAGAACATTCAATGTGCTATAAAATTCCAGGATAAAAACATTTCCTTAATAAAAATATTAATATAACTAAAAATGTTAATTTAAGAATTATTACATTTACAGAAATTTTTACTTATTTTAATGACATTGGCAATTTCATCAATTTATAGAGAAATGTAGAGGTTTGTTGAGAAATATCTAATTTTAAATAATTTTTAAAACCTTAATTTATTAATGTTTGAATTGCCAGCATCGCTACTCTTGTACTTTTGGGCCATTATTTAGTAAAATAAAGGTCACTTGAATACAAGAACTGTGGTACCATGATAGTCAATCTGATAAACCCAGATGGCTACTAAGTGACTAACAGGTGGGTAACATATACAATGTGGATACACTGGACAAAGAGATGGTTCACATATGGGTGGGACACAGCAGGACAATGTGGATTGCACCATGCTACTCATAGAGGTGCACAATTTAAAACTTATGAACTGTTTGAAACTTATTAACTTTCCACTTAATATTTTCAGACTGCAACTGCCTATGGGTAACAGAACTGAGGAAAAGGGAAGACAACTATATACTAATTTATAACTGTATCATCAGTGGTTTGGGGGAAAGTATGTTTCCAACCAAACTATTTTTTATCAGGCTATGGAGAAGGATACTGTACCAAAATAAAAAGTAACTTGAAGGCAGTGACCATGTAGACATTTTAAATTTCAACAGGTTCTCATTAAAGTTGGGCTTTTAAATTTAATAAAATATAAAACCTAATTGATAAGATATGCACACACTTAATACCTTAAAAAAAAATGAAACAAACAAACAAACCAACAAAAAACCTCGTTTATTATGAGGAAAACAGCAGAGAATCCAAAGGGCATCCTTCAAAACACAGGACCAGCACTGTGCAGCCAAACACGGCCCGCCATGACAGGGGGCAGCTGAAAAGCTTGGAAAAGACAGACAAGAGAATGAAAGCTGGGTCTCGGTGGGATGCTGGTTCCTGAGAGACAGCACCCAACCCCAGAAACCCAGTCTTTATTTTGTAGCAGATGCCAGGAGGCAAAGTAAGGACTTGGTCAAGATGTTTACAGCATTCTCAAGGGTTTCGATCCTACTCCGTTACATGCACCTGATTAAACCTGGTTTACTCGCAGCTTATACCACTCAGAACATAGGTTCTAGCTTCCAACTCTAGCTGTTGGGTATAATTGTGCCGGAAGGCACTGCCTTCCAAGCTTGGATATGCACATGGCCAAGAGAGGATGGGTCCTCTCATTAGTCCCAGTCTTGAACCTCTCTCCACACAGCACCCTCCAATCTCGTCAAGGTCATTAAAAACAAGGACGACTGGGAGACAATGCACAGATGGGGCTAAAAGCAGTGTGGGGTTCTGGGTATATCCTCCAAGAGAAGAAGGCTATGAGTGAAAGACTAGAGAAACACAAGTCTATAGTCCGGTTCAAGCACGGCACCAGCATTCACTTGTTAGCTGTACTGGTGCCAGGGTTATGGAAGCAGTGAACAACAGGAGAGACTAGCTATGCAGATCTGTGTGCAGGAACCCTGTACTCACTATGCAATTGTGGGGGGAAATCTAGAATTACTCCAAAATAAAAATAAAAATTATTTTTAAAAATGTAATACACACACACATATAAATATATATATATATGAAACCTGCTTATATTTTCCAAAATGTGATGAAACTAAAATATGATGTTTAGATTAAGAGGGCTTAATTTCCAATACAAAGAATTACAAGGTGCCAAGAAAAGTCTGGATTCTTGAAGATTTTTATTTTATTTTTTTTTTTTTTTAGGCAAGAAATGCATTTCTCTGAAATAAAAAATCTGAAATAACATGTGAGAGAGTTATTGATATCCAAATCTTCATGCTTTTCCCCAAATAGGAATTGCATTATGGTTATCCTTTAGTAACAATAAAAACCTTATTTCCTAAATATTGTTCTACTGTTTGTTAAATACACTTCTACCAGATGGAACTTCAAGAGGTTACACTTTGTCATCATATTCCCAAGAAATTAAAAAACAACAACAAAAACCCCCAATAACCTTTGTCCTCTTCCCTCACCTATCCATGTGTTCTTCGTTGCAATTAATGGCGTCTCCAGCCTTTGCTGCTCAGATTAAACAGCTCAGGCATCTGATACTGCGTGCCTCTTTGTCATGTTTCTGTTATACTCTCATCCCTCTCCTTTCTTTCTTTGCTGTAGTGTCTGTTGAATTTTGTTCCCTCCTTTGGATTACCATTATCTTAACCACAGGCTCAGGACTCCTATACTTTTTCTAGGGGATCGCAAATACCATCCATTCAGTGTTACATAGAATCCCTTGAATGATTCTATTCTCCAACCTCAGTATCTTTGGTAAAATGTCTGCTTTAAATTTTTTTATTTGTGAACTGCCTTCCTCTATCTGGCCATCTATCTTTCTCACTCCCTCTCCTCCCCCCAATCAAAAGCTATCCACATTTCAATGCTTGCTTGCTAAATACCACCAAAATGAGACAGAACTTCTTAGAAAAAAATGGCTGACCACAGATCGGAGGCAGGAAAAGTATAAGCCCTGCAACATTTTGTTATGACAGAAAAGCATGGACTAATAGGGTTCTCTCAAAAAGTCACATACGTTAACCTTTGAAGGGATACAACTGGTCAATTTCAGGTGTGATAAAAGAATAATGATAATGACTACATAATTTTTTACTCAAATGAGGATCCATTTGAGAAAGAAAGGAGGCACTATTAAAAATTATGTTGTTAGGAATGGGAGAATTGCAGGAAAATGTGGTTATGTGGTCACTCTAATTATAACATTTATTAATTCCTTTTATCTCCAAATGCTCTTTATTTTCTCTTAAACCGATTTCAAGTAGGCTTCTGCTCCAAGTACTCCAACTAACAACATTCTTGTAAAAAAAAAAAAAAAAAAAAAAGTCACCAACAATTTCCATGTTGTAAAATCTAATGAACAGATCTCAGTCCTCTTCTTATTCAACTTAGCAGCAGCATCTGACTCTTCCCTTTCTTGGCCTGTTATCACCTTTTCACAGGTTAATTCATTTTTTCTATTTGCTATACTTTCTTTGTATGACTTTCAGGACCCATACTCTTGGTTTTTCTTCCTTAGCTTCCTTTGCTAGTTCTTACTCTTCTTTATAGCTTAATAGTGGACCAGAATTCTGTCGTTGGTACTCACCACCATTATCTAATACCACCTTAGTGATTTTCATTTAACCTCATGATTTTAAATATCATGTACAAGTTAACAACTCCCCAAGTCTCTTATCTCTAGCCCGTACTGTCTTCTGCACTCATATTAAACTGACTCCTTCACAGCATCATCACTCCTAACCCTTCTTACTCTGCTCTAATTTTCCATAGTATATCATCTACTAACATACTATTATATAATAAAAGGGTAATATGCTAATTAGACTGGAAGTCCTTCCAAGTGTCATTCTGGACGAAACCAGGGCAGGCAGCCAGGGGAAGGAAGGCCTGCTCTTGCAGGAATTTTCATGCATGGGACTCTAGTTACTATACTGTCTTTCCCAATTCTTCCCAAATATCAGAACACTGTAAGTTTCTGTTTCTCAGGTATATCTTAAGTACCTAGAAAAGCTCATGACATTTGACAAATCCTTCAAGAATACTTGTTTAAAGAATGGTTACTAAGAATATTTTCATTTATTAGGTAGTCTAATTAAATTGTTAAATTGAATACTTCATTTATCTCATATTAGGAGAGCATAAGCTAGACCTGCTAGTAAACACTGCCCCTGTTCAGGAACTATTATAGAGAGCACATTTAATAACTATGTCTTTCATTAATTTAATTTTCTAAAGTAAAACAAAATTTTTAATATTGTCATGTTGAGATATGAATCTATATCACTATTAAACCTAATGCAACACTTCATGTAGAGAAAACTAGTAAAATAATCTAAAAATTTTTTTCATTTTCAAATTCTCTGTTCACGTGTCCATCTCACTCATTAGACCAGTGTTTTTCAACCTTTTTTGGGCAAAGGCACACTTGTTTCATGAAAAAAATCACGAGGCACACAACCATTAGAAAATGTTAAAAAATTTAACTCTGTGCCTATATTGACTATATATAAAGTAATTCTCTTGAATAGGAATCAAATAAACACAAAGAAAGTATTTTATAATTACTTTATTATGAAATATTAAGTAAACAAAATAGTGAAAAATTATAAAATTTTTCTTGTCTTGTCTGCACCTACGGCACACCAGGCAACATCTCACGGCACACTAGTGTGCCGCGGAACAGCGGTTGAAAAACGCTGCATTAGACTATAAGCTTCTCAAAGAAAACATCACATAAATTTCTAAATTTCTATAAACTAACAGAGTACTTGGTAAACAAAGTACAGACCTAACAGATTTTCTTTGAGCTGAAATAAAGTGCTTTGGATGGCTCCAAGATGACATGATAAAAGTATGTGAACTTTTCTGGCAAATTATAGGACTAAATAACATCTGGTAAAACTTTTGTTTTTTGAAACCTACAATACTAACTAAAATAGTAAGAATGATTTCAGCTCTGGTCTAAAGTTACAATGTAACACAGACAATGATGGTGGACATGGTGTATGATAAATCTCCAAAAGACCTCTGTTCAGGATTTCTCCATACTGAATAGTTTTGGCATAATTTTTCAAAATGGCATTGAAGTCAATCCTATCTTAATATTTCATCTATGCCAGTTATGTGGAGTAAAAGACTAAA